CCCCCCCCCCTGTCTCCCTCCCTCCCTCTCTCTCCTAACTGCTTTTCTCTCCTTTCTTTCTCCTTCTCTTTTCTTTTGTCATTCAATGTTTCTTTTCTTCTGAATTTCTCAGACAGTGTACTTTGAGCTGTCTCAATAGTTAATTAGTTTGAATCTATAAATAATGTCAGAAAACTACATGGTCTCTGGAAAGTTAAGATTTTTTTTATTTCTCAGACATTATCTGTCTGACTGTTTTGCTACTGACAGACGCACCTCCACCCATAGTCTCTCTGAGTCACATATATCTGTCTGTGCACATGGAAAGGAACTACTGATTAGATTTTTATAATTGCTTGTGTGTTAGCGCACATGCTCATAAAAAAAAGGAAATGCAAAGTATAAAGTGTGATCAAGAAAAGATAGCGACTGTGTCCCTGTGCGCCTTAAAGAGAAATGTGTGTTGAAGGGTCATGCTGAATTGTATGTAGTGAGAAAGGGAGATAAGATGTGTGTGTGTTTGTAAGAGAAAAGAGGAGAGAAAGAGAAGTGAGATTGGAAGGAGAGGGTGGGAGGAAGAGAAAGAAATGGGGTGATGCTGTATGTCTGTGTGTGTGTGTATATGTGTGTGTGTGTGTGGTGGGGTGGAGGGCTGGGGGGGCAGGCACAGTCAGTTCTGATAACAGCAACAGTAGGAGGAGGATGAGCCGTGGGACCGCCCCACTCTCCCACAGATATAAATAGGAGGTGGATTTTTTTACTCCACTCATTTCTCCTGAAGGATGAGATCCCTGAAACACCTCAAACATCACTCCAGGAACAATGTGGTGAGTTTGTAACCCAGAGATGGAGAAAGATGTGTTGCTGCTAAGTGTTGGTAGGGGGTGGGGACGTGGGGGGTTTACTTGTTTGGCAGTTTGTTGATGTGGTATTTACACTCTTGTCTATGTGTAAGTGTGAGGAGATGTGAGATTACTTTTCACATGCATATGACCATAGTGAGAACATCTTTAAAAAAAAAAACAGAGTTTTGTTTTCTCTGCCGCATGTTTTCCTCTACTGCTGTAATTGTTTGTCCTTAGGTGTATTTCAGTTGCAACTTTAAATGTAAAAGTCCGGACTCTTGCAATTACTACCCTACCTTCTCTGTCTCCTTGTCATTTGTCTTTTTCTCTTTCATTTTGTCAGCCTTTCATTTTGCTGTGCTTTTTCTGCTTTCCCCAGCTCCCCCTCCTTCCCTCCCTTCCTCCTTCCCCTCTTTCACTCACTCATTCTGTCTTTCTGTCTCTCTCCAGCTCCCCTCCCCTCCACACACCCCCTCCCTCTCCTTTTCCTTTCTCTCTTCCCTTCTCTCACATGCTCACTCAATCTCTCATTCCCCTCCTTCTCCTCCCCTCTTTCTTTATCTTTCAGGCCCTCCATCTCATTTCTCTCTCCGTCTCCCTCCCTCCACTCCTCCCCCGCCCACAGCTCTTTCTCCTTCTCTACCTCCCTCCCTCTCTTTTCTCTCTCAGACACGCACGCACGCACGCACACACACACTTTCAAATACAAACCCAGCCTCTTTCCTTTTCTTTCTCACAAACACACAGTCTGTCTCTGTCTGACTACTTTAAAAGCAGTAATTATAAATGACGTGGTTATCAGGGCATCCAGGTCTACTCCCATCTCCCAACACACACACACACACACACACACCTTTATTCTTACTCTATCTCCTCTTCCTTTTCCCCCTTTCCCCATCCACTTCTTTTCTCTTAGTATTGTGTCAGGAAAGGAAGCAGCTCTTGTTTGCATGGCACATGGTGAAGACTAGTGTGTAGTCTGAAAAAGAAACTAGGGGTCAGAGCTTCTCTCTCTACATTTTCCCACTAGTTAGTGCCATGCTGAAAAATAACCTGAAACCAGGCCTATAATACTTGCTTCTCCTTTACCAAAATGAGACAGTTTGGTCCCACCACAATTTCTTCCTCACAGTTTCACTATTCCGTTTTTACAAGCGACAAGATAAACATGTGCATGTGAGTCTGAAACACTTCCAAACCATCCAGCTATATTAGTGAGTCTTATGCATTGGTCTGGAATACAGAATGAGTCCAAAGCTCAGTCGAATGTCTGTTATGGATATGAGGCTGCCTACCAGCATAGATCATCTTGTTAAGGAAGCCCAGTGTGGCAGGCATTATGAAATCGGCTACGCTGAGAGTGTCTGAGTCGCTGTGCTCCTCATGAATGGCATAGATAGCGCCAGTAAGGTCCAGTGATGAGATGACTTTGGTCAGTCAGGCTGCCCCGGGACCCCACAGGAAGTGCTGAGGACAGTCCACGGAAGTCAACATCCTGACTGGACCTGCATCCCTTGTTGTGTTCTTTATTATTCTAAAGCCTGTCAAGGAAGGAAGCGGGGTGCTAGCACAGATCTGTTTTATCTCCTCAATCTAAATGGTACCTCAATGGTAATTTTCTGCAGATTCAGAGCAAAGAAATAAGGCGTAGTCTGAATACAGCTTTCACAGAGTAACCCTAAAAACCTTATCCTAGGAGTTCCTAGGAAAGAAGAGTGTGTAGTGTCTGATATCAATCTGGAACACTGAGTCTTAAGAGGTAAATTACATGATCATTTCAATATTAAAACTACAAACAGCCTTTTGTTTGTATTAATAGGAAAGTTACAAATATCATGAGGGTGAAATGGGGAAATTATGTTGTATGAGGAAACATTGTGTAAGACATATTTTGTAACAACGGAATAATAATACACACACACACACACACACATACGCACACACATTGCTTCTGATTTTTTTTTTCCTGACTTATGCTGTATGTTTATGCACTTCTTTTCAGGAGGAGGAGAGCAGCCGCTTGGTGCGGAGCTACCCCAAGATGACTGAGGGACAAGTGGATGTGGGAACGCAGACAGAACCTGTGGTGGTGCTATCTCTAGCTCAGGCAGCCGTTCTTGGCCTCATCTCCCAGAATGAAATCTTTGGGGCCACTATTGCTCCTAATGGCTTTTACACTGGGGAGCCCAGAGAGTGTCCTCCTCCTCCACCTGAGGCAATGGAGTATGAATATGCTGACCCGCTGATAGGGGCCAATGGGGACTACCTGGCTGAGCCTGCTGGGGAGCCAGAGCCCCAGCCTCAATGCAGTGAAAGAAGACGGCCTGGGCCCCGTGGTAGGACCAAAAGGCCCAGGACCAATGGAGAATTAGAGGGCCACCCACAAAAATTACCAGGTCCACACACTCAGGTTAAAGGTGAGAGACTTGAGTCTGACATGCCTCCTTCCTGCATTCACATGAACAGCAGGCCTAGTCCTGGCATGGCAGAGGATCCAGTCACCCAACAAGGATCTCTGAAAGAAGAGCAGTCCTGTGGAAACTGTTCTTCTTGTGTGAGAGATACACCCAGGCAACAAACAGATGGACAACCAGAACAGGAACAAAAAGAAACCATTGGTAGAGAAAGAGAGAGGAAGGAGGAGGAGTTAGTGGTGGAGGAAGAAGAGGAGGAGGCACTAAACCTCAAGACAAGTGGAGAGACTGGCAGTCCTCTAGAGAACCGCTACTATGAGTCCAGTGAGGTTGCCTATGAGTCCGCTGACATGTCCCTGCCAGGAGAGCAAGAGGAGAACGGCCAGGCCATGCTGTGGTCAGACCCAGAGGGCCTTGCCAGGCGAATGCAGATTGACCGGCTGGATATCAACGTACAGATCGATGAGTCTTACTGCGTAGATGTTGGAGAGGGTCTGAAACGCTGGAAGTGTCGCATGTGTGAGAAGTCATACACATCAAAATATAACCTTGTCACTCATATTCTGGGCCATAATGGAATCAAGCCCCATGAATGTCTACACTGTGGAAAACTCTTCAAGCAGCCGAGCCACCTCCAGACTCATTTGCTCACCCACCAGGGAACCCGACCTCACAAGTGCACTGTTTGTGAGAAGGCCTTCACACAAACCAGCCACCTGAAGAGGCACATGCTGCAGCATTCAGATGTTAAGCCCTACAGCTGCCGCTTCTGTGGCCGCGGCTTTGCCTACCCCAGTGAACTGAGGACCCACGAAAACAAACATGAGAATGGTCAGTGTCATGTCTGCACCCAATGTGGTCTGGAGTTCCCAACCTATGCCCACCTGAAGCGCCACCTGACCAGTCACCAGGGCCCAACCACGTACCAGTGCACGGAGTGCCACAAGTCCTTCGCTTACCGCAGCCAGCTGCAGAACCACTTGATGAAGCACCAGAACGTGCGGCCCTATGTCTGCCCTGAGTGTGGCATGGAGTTTGTCCAGATCCACCATCTTCGACAACACGCTCTCACTCACAAGGTACTGGCAGCGCAAGCCCTCGCACTTAAGGTACTGAAACTCAATGATGTGCCTTTGTCTACCAGTTTATGTGTTCAAAACAAAGCCAAGAGTAGGCAGGCCTTATGCAACTGCACATCACTAAACCTTCAAAATATGGAAAAGCCATTATCAGGATCTAATCATGTAAGGGATTTAGGAAAATAGTGAAGTATTTTATCTTCTTTCCCTCAGTCCTCTGTATGAATCCTCACAGAAAACAAGGGGATACTATTGCACACTTTCATCGCAGCCTTTTTTCCAAAACCAGTTGCTTTGTAAACATAGCCTTCAAAAGCCTTGGGTTGTTTTTTGTGTGGCTCAACCCCCCACTTGCATGTGTTTCGTGTTGTGTGTCTTTTGCAAAACCGCTTCCCTTTGTGTCTGATGAATCACTCTGCTTTTTCTCCCCATTTCATTATATAGTCTGTTGTATTCTGTAAGGATATGGAAAATATTTCTTTTAATTGAATTTTCTTTTGTTAAATATTAAAATCAATGTTAAATAAATGCTGAAAAAAAAGAAAAAGTTTACTCTGTCCATTGTTAGGCTTTTTCTACTCCATCTTTCAACACTTGGGGGGGCTAATGTAATCTACTTGAGGTGGATCAACAGCCAGAATGCACATGCACACACACAAGCTCCTTATGTTTTCTCTCTGTGACTCATTATTTATTTTCCTCTAGACCGTATATTTAGCCAAATTAATTAGAAGACCCAAACACCTTTTTTTTAATTATTTCTCCAGGGTATGAAAGAATTCAAGTGTGACGTTTGTGCCAGAGAGTTCACCCTGTCTGCCAACCTGAAGAGACACATGTTGATCCATGCCAGCGTGAGGCCATTCCAGTGCCACGTCTGCTTCAAGACCTTTGTCCAGAAGCAGACCCTTAAAACGCACATGATTGTTCATCTGCCAGTCAAGCCTTTTAAATGCAAGGTGAGTGAATTCAGCAGACTTTTATGTTAAGATAAACTGAGTTTTGGGATTGGTACTGACTATTGTGGTCTTGTTTATAAGGTGTGTGGAAAGTCTTTCAACAGAATGTACAACCTCCTCGGCCACATGCATCTCCATGCCGGCAGCAAGCCCTTCAAGTGCCCTTACTGCACCAGCAAGTTCAACCTGAAGGGCAACCTCAGCCGACACATGAAGGTCAAACACGGCATCATGGACACCTCAATAGACGGACAAGGTAAGAATCGGTTGCCTTTAATTACGCGCTCTGCTGTGAAACAGACAACTCCTTGATGACACTGTTGATGGAAGCAAACTGTTGATGGGTTATGTGTGGCAAATTTCCTAGTGTGATTACTCAGAGGGCTTCGTGTTGCATTATTGTCACTCAGTCTGTCCCTAATGCACTTTGACTTAGCATGTACTGTAATCTAGTGGCCAAGTGTTTTGATGTTTCTCTGTCTCTCACTCACTGTGTGTTTAGTAAATATTAGCAGTGCCTGGATTAGACATGCCTGTCCCTATCAGTAGAGACTGGTATTGAGGAAGGAGAGGAGGGGGGCAATCTACTGGCTGTCCTCAGTGAGGCCATTTGTCTTTAGGAAGAGCTCTGCATGTGCGTTACTGAGGACAGATAGGAATCATGTGTGTGGGTGTGTGTGTGGGTGTTTCCTTCCTTCTTCAGAACCCCCCCAAGACACAGAAGGCCAGGAGGACTATGAAGAGGAGAGCTTTGAATTCAGCGAACGGGAAAACCGGGCTAACAACAACAACACACCAGACATTGCTAAACTATCTCAAATGGAGTATTACAGCACCTATGGGAAGGGTGCAGGGCGCTTCAGCACTGCATGAATTATTAAAATCCCCACAAATTGAATATAAACGAGAACTATTGAAAACGGGATTTTTTTGTTTTTTGGTGTTAAAGGTATAGTGCCTGGGTTGTTCTTCAGTGGCAAGAAGAAGCCCAGCAAACTGCACATTCATATGCACTGGAATCACTCATAATGCTACAACATTTGGAAATGTATACTTTTTACCTAATTAAATATTTTTCATCTCTAAAATATTGCAAATCTACTGAGCAAAATATATTATATTAGAGAAAAGTGGACTATCTAAAATAGGAGCATTTAGGTTTAAAAAAAACTATATAAATACATTTATGTTGTCAGTGGCTTAAAAACAAGAACATCATCGGAACCTCTTTTGAAAAGCAGACTTTTAGCTACAAGCATTAAAGCATATGGTGACGCTATACTGCACTTACTCATTTAGACAATCCCGGTCTCTCTCAAACAAAGTGAAGCATTAAAGAAGGGAATAAGTGTTATTGCTCATTTCACTTGCCAAAACTTATCAAGTTGCAGAGGTTAATGACTCATTTTCATTTACACTGTGATTAATTAAATTTGAAGTCTGCAAAATGACTTAAATTCCTTTGGATTTGCAATCCGTGTTTTATTGTATATTGTTGTACAGAATGTATCAGTCCTCTTGTATGCTGGCTGGTACTGCAATCAGTGCGTTGCACTGAAGACCACTGTGTCTACTTTTTAGGTTTTTGCATTAACAAGCATCGCCCTGCATTGATCTCTAGTCTATGAATGTAATTGTTTCTGTGGAATGTCTTACAACACTAATATTAAAAAAAATAATAATTAAAGTACCCGCTTTAATGGTAGGACCCCTTTACCAAAGAATTGGATCAAATCATGCAGCTGCTGGCACTGTCAGTCTTTTTTTATTCTTGCTGTTGTGTTGGGACATTAGATTTCTTGCAGTCTGATCACAGACCTCATGAAATTACATTCAGGTTCCCCTGCCACCCATCTGTAGATCTCTTCAAAAGATTACCACAGAGAACAGACTGTGGTACAGCTTCCCTTTCAACAAACCTCACAATTTTCCTCCATCAGACCTTCACAAGACCAGACTGCAGCATTTTTCAAAAGCAATGCAAACCCTGCATCGGCATTGCATTTTTTTTAATGGATGAATCTCAACAAGAACTGTCCCAAAAAACTTGGACAGAAATATTAAGTGCCCCAGTGTGTCTGTGCGAGCATGCCATCCATCATGCTGTATGCTGGTCTCAAGTGATGAACGACAACCTCCCAACATGTGACAGGGCCATGGACCTCATGGAAAATGATTTGGGAAATGCTCAATATATTCATTTTCTCAGTGCTTAGCTTTTCAAACTTGTAACCTGCAAACAAGGTATTCATTTGCAATGTTGATATAGTGCATTTAAATAAAAAAAAGAGCTCATTTTTGAGAGTTTTTCTGTGTTCACTCCATCACTGTTTTAGTGATGATACAAAGGGGAAGATGCTCAGCTTCAATGGCTTTCTGTATTAGACATTAGTGTGGAGATAATGTGCATAGAAATGTAAGTACAATGTTGTGTACCAGAAAATACTGTAAAATAATAAATTTATTTACCTTTAAAATGGTTGAGCTTTTATTATTTGTTCAAAAACCAAAAGCACTCAGTCCGGGTCAAACAAAGGATTTATTGGCAAATGTGTTTCACACATACTTCGACCCTGCCCAGTGGCATTACACAGTATTTCATACAGTACTTCATATTACAAAAATAAAACCTTGCAAATAATTGGACAGATAATTAGGTGGAGGGATATCTCTCAGCTGTGTAACCTAAAAGAATACTACATAATCCAATAAACATTTTAATTTTTTCCTTCAGACAAAATACTAGTGAGTTCATTGACCTTAAGTTAAAAATGAGGTACAAAAACTGAAGAGTGCCATTGCCATCTCCAGGCTAACTATATTAATTCAAGTCCTTCAATTGCCAAGGGCTTTGTCCAGGTTTGTCTTGATGGCGTCAAGGAAGTCTGTAGTATTGACGTAATGCTCGTTTAGCTTGACACTGAAAAGGCAAGACGAGACACAGCAGATCAGGAAATTCAATGCCAAGCTTTAGGAAACAAGACCATAAAACACCAATACAAGGAGAATTTTTTTATTTTTAGGGATTAGCATTAATTGATGTTGTTGATTAAAAATTTACAATGGACACGCTGCATGATAAGTTTATTAAACAATATGACTTACTACTACTACTACTACATGACAGCTCTATTATTGAAACTTTAAAAATGGCTGCCCTGTATTTATGCATCTCTTGTTTCCAGACAGGACTGCCTTCAATGACAAAAATAACATCCAATCATTGGCAGATGCGCAAGTTGAAAACAAAACTACTTTCTCTAGTGTTACCAAACCCTTAAGTAGGGGTTGAAAATAAATATTTGATTTGTACCTGGATCTAGATGGACAATAGGTGCACAATTTGTTCTTCAGCGTTTATGCGCATTTGTTCATGTGAAATGAGCAGAACTGCACCTCCAATTAATATTTTACAATGGTGAGAATCCCTTATACAATATTTTTTCTTGGGCCAGAGGATAACTTTCCACTCTGACAGAGGTAGACATTCCTCAAACATGCCCAAAGATGAGGACATGTTTGGGACAAGGTTTCGAGTTCTCAACCTGTATCACATGCTGGCAGGCAGGTCAGAATCACAGTAAGTAACACCCCGACTTAGGGTACGTTAGTGTATCAGGCTGATGGTAATGGTTTAACCAATCAGAGTTACAAGAAGGAAATCTGCCAATGAAAGCACCAAACCTTATCTCTATTTGGCTGCTATTATATTGATTAAGTAAGTAATTAATGATTATGTGTACTACTGATGATTTTGCAAATCATAATTGGAAATAATTTGGGTTTATAAAATATCAGACAGCTGTGAAAATGACATTTTCATGTTTCTTTTTTTGTCCATACAAACCCCATCAGTTTACAATTCTATAAAACAAAGCAGACGAGTTGCAGGCACTATGATCTGTTAGACATTTTTGCTTTTTCTGACCAGCTAATTGATTAACTAATTGTCTTGTCTCTGTATTGAGTCCTATTAGACTTCCTAATGTTTTTTTCTATGCCTAACATCTACATGCCTGCCAAGTGCAAACAGAAACCTTATCCACACTAGCTGTACCAATACCTTTTATTCTACCTATTTTAGGTGTGATGTCCCAAAGATACCTACATTCCCACTCCTTTATTTGAGTGATCTCTGGTGCCAGACCCTTCCTTACATCTTCAGAATTAAGTGTTTATGTAACCATGTAATATACACCCAAGACATATAAGTTTATTTGATGCAATGATGGCTCCATTCAAGCTCAACATGTTAAGGGTTTTCTGTCATCCCTATCAGATATTCCCAGCATGTTGCTGAATCAATAATGAACTCAGGCTGATGTGAAGACAAAATTATTAGTGGTAAAAACTAGGTGTATCTATTGAAATGGCTGTTGGGTGTAATATGTTAGAATGACTGGTGATATCCAAGAATTAAAACTATTAACGTGAAAATAAACTTACTTGGGCAGGCCGTGGATGCAGCCTGCGAGGTCCTTGGTCATCGTGCCACTCTCAACTGTTTGAACACACACACTCTCCAGTGTCTGGGAGAACCTGCAGATGATCAAATACATTTAGAAACCCATTTTCCCCATCCGAGATCTGTATGTTCACTAAAGTATTATACAGCTCTTACTTGATAAGGTCTGGATTGCCATCAAGTTTGCCACGATGCTCCAGGCCTCTGGTCCAGGCAAAGATGCTGGCAATAGGATTGGTGCTGGTCGGCCTTCCCTAAAAGCAGAGATGAAATTTTAGTTTTTCTTTAACTACTACACAAATAGTACAAAATGTTTATTTTCAAAATATCATAAGAATAAAACCACCTTTTTTTCTAATTTGCTCCAGGCACCTAAGCATAGTTCTCATACTCGATTTTCACCACACGATGGCAGTGTAACTCCACAGATTACAAAGTCTATTTGCAAGGTCATAATCCAGTTTCTCAAATTTTCTGTTTCATTGCCCAGCTGAAATGCTTACCAACACACAGCCATAGGACTGACAAAGATGGATGGTTACTAACCTTCTGGTGCTCACGATAGTGCCTGGTCACAGTGCCGTGGGCAGCCTCAGCCTCAATTGTCTTGCCATCAGGACATACGAGAACTGAGGTCATCAAGCCCAGGGAGCCGAAACCTAAAACAGGAAACAAAATTTTGTGCAATTTAGTTCTGCCCCAAAAATGGCAGTCATCCGAAATACTAATAGATTTCAGTATTTTCTAACAACTTCATTTCCAAGAAAGACACAGACTTGTTTTCCAAGTAGCTCACCCTGTGCAAGGATATCAGACTGGACGTCTCCGTCGTAGTTCTTGCAAGCCCAGACAAAGGCTCCAGAAGACTTCAGCACCTGAGCGACCATATCATCAATAAGCCTGTGCTCGTACCAGATCTTTAGTTTGTCAAACTCAGGCTTGTAGTTCCTGTAGGAAAAAAAAAAAACTCAATGAACTAAAGCTATTTCTAAAGCTTACAGTAAGTGGGAAAAAAGTGCTTACTTTTCTATAATATTGTATCAAAATAAAGTTTAATATTACTACTGTTTCCTATGCCACTGATCAAAATGGTATCCTTACAAAGATATTTTACTTATGCAGCAAAAAAGAACCTATCAAAATCAGAGGACACTCACTTTTCAAAGATATCCTGGAAGATGTCTTTAAACCTGCCATCGTAGGCTTTAAGAATGGTGTTCTTTGTGCTCATGTACAAGGGCCATTTCTTGGCAATAGCATACTGGAAGCAGCTGTGTGCGAAGCCTGTAATCGACTGTTGGAAGACAAACACAAACAGTTTACAACTGCAGTGGTTTTTATCAGCAGTACAGGGGTTAACAGCCCTCCCCTTGACAAGCTGAAAGTCATCTGCTGTGACCTCTGATGTTGTTAAATCAAACAGAGCCATTCAGTCCAGTGCAAACAAAATGGTAGCAGAGCAGGTTAAAAAGATCTTAATCTACATTGGTGACTACTGTGTCAGTTTTACAGAGCACCTCAGGCAGACTTTAGAAGCACTTATTTTAAAAAAGGGTATAAAATTGAAGGTTTAGGGGCTGCTTAAGTTCTGACTATCTACTGTAACTATCCACTTTCCTAAACTGGTAGACGGGAGTAGAAACTGGAACTACTTGGAAGAATTAACCAGATTTCTATTGTTTTGTATTCCTCTCTGTGCTAAACAAAAATTTCTAAAGCAACATATGAGGTCGCACACCCTATCTGAAGATTACACTGACAACATTTCATTAGCAAACAAATATTTCAGTCTGACAAGCAGCTCGCTCAGGTATGCAGTGATTTTTCTAATCTTTTGTCCTGGATACAATAAGCCCTCAAAGGTTTAAAAAGCACAGCATTAAAGTGATAAAAACCTAAAAGCCAAGTCATTTTTAAAGGTCAACAAACCACAATAAATGACCAAAACCAGTGACTCATGAATAGTTTCATGCGAGAGGCCAAAGACTGGTACAGCTTATTCTACAGTGCTGTAAACTTTAAAAAGCACATTAATGAGCCCCTGGGAGACACATTCCTTCATTATGATGAACACAGAAGTGCTGTTTATTTTGAGGTGATAGGCCATCCTGCTGCCATAAATACTGATTAGTGCACAAAATCTGTGGCAGAAAACAGACCAAAAAAATATACCATTTACTCCTGTTTGAATAACATTTGCTAAAAACTACAGTGCCCAGATATTTCACCTTAAATTTTTTTTTAAATATTTATTACTAAGCAATTTTTTTAACATTTATGTGTTTAGAAGGAACAAATAGACGAGAGGCTGTGCACTACAGACACGCTGAAACGGTCACATTTTTTTCTCTTTGCTTTTTTTATAGAGTTTGTTGACAGTAACAAAACAAAACATCGCTAGTCATATCCTTTAAATGTAAGTACACACTCACCTCATCTGTGTTGTACATGCCCATTCCACAGCCCCCAGCAGGAAAGTCAAAGACCTCCCATTCCTTGTTGGCACTTCCATTAGCAGGTGAGAAGACTATCTTGAATTTGCCAGGCTGGTTCACAACAAAGTCAGTTGCTCTGTACTGTGGAAAAAACACAGCAAGAAGTTTCATCAGCTTTACAAAACTCGATATCAGTTCCAACATTGCCTGTTTCTGGTTCTTTGGACTCGGGAGTTAAAAGAAACATTCCTGTAAACTCAATTTCTGTATTTTGTTCAATATTTAGACAACACTGACCTGATCACCAAAGGCGTGTCTGCCGATGACGATAGGCTTTGTCCAGCCTGGGACAAGCCTGGGAATGTTATTGCAGATGATTGGCTCGCGGAAAACGGTGCCACCCAGGATGTTCCTGATGGTTCCATTAGGGCTCTTCCACATCTTCTTCAGGCCAAACTCTACATACAAAAACTATTTTAGAAAGTGTACTATGGAGCACCAAACAACATAATCATCACTTACAGAGAAATCTATGTACCATTGTCGGTCAAATGTTTTTAATCACACTACATTTTAACAGTGTTGACTAAAGATTTAGTAAGCTCACTGTCCTGATGATTTTTGAAATGTAAACAGCATAATATTAAAATTCATATAGCAATGCAGTAAGTGAAATCTGAGATGTGGTCCGAGATGGAGTCTTATTTTGTGATAGTCTGTTTTTTAAGCAAGCTGGGCTTTTTTAAGCCATTGTACTGCCTTAAAAAATGCAAAGCAGCAAATAGTCTATTCAGCCCTGCTTCCTGATGTTATAATCAGCCTTGTGAAGCAGCCAACACCATTTTCACTGTACTTGTCTTTTGATACTGCTCTTAGTCCAGGTCTGCTAAGCCTGGCACTGCTTGGATGGTAAATTAGAGCTTTATTCAAGTTCGATCTGTTAAACTTATGCACACAATCAAAACATCTGCTGTTAAGACAACATACGATATGGTGTCCCTTATACAATATTCAATAACTTGACACACAGTGAATATGAAGTCACTTTAGCAGTGAGGCTATGGGTCTAAACTGCTCTGAAATGAAAAATATGTAGCAGGCTATGAGATACTTGTTACACACCTTCCACTCTGGCTTCATCAGGTGTGATGGTGGCACATTTAACTGCCACATGGTACTTCTTGGTAGCCAAGGCAGAGTCGATGGTGACCTGGTCTTCAGTCTGGTCACGACTTGGCAAGCCCAGGTCAAAATACTTCAGCTCAACATCAACGTTAGGCAGAATTAACTAAAAGACCCACAAACAAAACAAACACAAAAACCAGAATTAGCATCCAGATCCTAGTTTACAGGAGTTTTGCTCTCCAGAAAACCTCCCTTTTTTTCTGAGACTTAAAAAAACTTTCATGCAATGCATTCTGGGATCAGTGGGATTTTTAACAGGACAATACAAGTTGCCATAAAATGTTCAAGACTTTGATGTCATGCTTCTCCACATCTTCTTCCTGAGCCAACACTCCATCTGCTCAGTGTGGAGCCAGTCAGCCAGTGACTGAAGGAAACACCACAAAAGCCCCTCCTCCACATCATACATAATCTTCCGTGTAACCCTCCCCTCACATCTCAGATCCATGCATCAGTCTGTGGTATAAAAATAGAAGAGTCGGACAGCGCAGCATTACCCTCCTCAGAGAAACATACACATACTTGTACTTCTATCTTTGTCAGGATTCTCTGAAATATTCCATTCCCTAGCCCCTTACCCAAACATTAACTACCAAAGCTAAATGCCTAACCCTAACGTAACCCTAATTCTAACCAGAACCTTAAAACCAAGTCTTAACCCTCAAAAAGCTGTTTCCGAAAATGAGGACCAGTCAAAATGTCCTCACTCTGTAGCATAAAAATTATTTTTGGTTCTTATTATATAGCAACTACAAGAACACATCCACTCCTGGAAGCCACTGTATCACCTTCTCTTTGATGAACTCCCAAATGATGCGGGTCATCTCATCCCCATCCATCTCCACCACTGGCTGGGCCACTTTGATGCGTTTGTCAGCATCTGTCAATCAAAAATATAGGTCATATTTGATTCTTGAGAATGCACCATTCAGGGTCAACATTAAATCTTTGCTTAGATGTTTTTATCTTTTACTCTAAAGACCTTTATACAAAAATCTTTTATTTTGTTCAAAATCACTCACTTTTCTAAATCAGCATGTTAAATCCATCTAAACATCAATAATTCAAGCTGCTTTATTTTCATGCCACCCATGACTTTTGAGCGCAGTCTCCTAACTTTGTTGCTCTTCAATGTGGCTTAGTGTCTCTAATCATACAGTGGATATAAAAAGTCTACACACCCCTGTTAAAATGCCAGGTTTCTGTGATGTAAAAAAACGAGACCAAGATAAATAATTCCAGAACTTTAGCCACCTTTAACTTGTACAACTCAATTGAAAACAAACTGAAATCTGTTTTTCAGTGGGAAGTAAAAATAAAAAACTAAAATAATGTGGTTGCATTACTGTGCACACCCTCAAACTAATATTTTGTTGAAGCACCTTTTGATTTTATTACAGCACTCAGTCTTTTGGGGTATGAGTTTATTAGCAATGCACATCTTGACTCTACAATATTTGCCCACTCTTCTTTGCAAAAACTCCAAATCTGTCAGATTGCGAGGGCATCTCCTATGCACAGCCCTCTTCAGATCACCCCACAGATGTTCAATCGGATTCAAGTTCGGGCTCTGGCTGGGCCATTCTAAGACTTTTATCTTGTTCTGGTTAAGCCATTCTTTTGTTGATTTGGATGTATGCTTGGGCTCATTGTCGTGCTGAAAGATGAAGTTCCTCTTCATCTTCATCTCTCTAGCAGAAGCCTGAAGGTTTTGTGCCAATATTGACTGGTATGTGGAACTGTTCATAATTCCCTCCACCTTGACTAAGGCCCCAGTTCCAGCTGAAGAAAAACAACCCCAAAGCATGATGCTGCCACCACCATGCTTCACTGTGGGTATGGTGTTCTTTTGGTGATGTGCAGTGTTGTTTTTGCGCCAAACATACCTTTTGGAATTATGGCCAAAAAGTTCAACCTTGGTTTCATCAGACCATAGCACCTTTTCCCACATGCCTTTGGGAGACTTCAAATGTGTGTTTGCAAAATGTAACCGGGCATGGATATTTTTCTTTGTAAGAAAAGGCTTCCGTCTTGCCACTCTACCCCATAGCCCAGACAAATGAAGAATACGGGAGATTGTTGTCACATGTACTACACAACCAGTACTTGCCAGGAATTCCTGCAGCTCCTTTAATGTTGCTGTAGGCCTCTTGGCAGCCTCCCTGACCAGTTTTCTCCTTGTCTTTTCATCAATTTTGGAGGGACGTCCAGCTCTTGGTAATGTCACTGTTGCACCATATTTTCTCCACTTGATGATGACTGACTTCACTGTGTTCCATGGTATATCTAATGCCTTGGAAATTCTTTTGTACCCTTCTCCTGACTGATACCTTTTAACAATGAGATCCCTCTGATGCTTTGGAAGTTCTCTGCGGACCATGGCTTTTGCTGTAGGATGCGACTAGGAAAATGTCAGGAATAGCCTACTGGAACAGCTGAACTTTATATGGGGTTAATCAGAGGCACTTTAATTGATGGCAGGTGTACTGACTCCTATTTAACATGAGTTTGAATGTGACTGCTTAATTCTGACAACAGTCACAGCCCCACAGTAAGAGGGTGTGCACACTAATGCAACCACATTATTTTAGTTTTTTATTTTTACTTCCCACTGAAAAACAGATTTCAGTTTGTTTTCAATTGAGTTGTACAAGTTATAGGTCACATTAAAGGTGGCTAAAGTTCTGGAATTATTTATCTTGGTCTCGTTTTTTTACATCACAGAAACCTGGCATTTTAACAGGGGTGTGTAGACTTTTTATATCCACTGTACATGACCACCCTGCAAGTCGGAGCACTCTGGACCCAGACCTGTTCATCCACACTGAGGTTTTGTTTTTCCTTAAACCTCATGTTGCCTGGATCAGAAACCGTTCACTGTTTTCATTCCTTCTCTCTTTTTGCTTCTTGCTGAGCTATTCATGTCAGAACTGAGGACAATAAAGCACCAGGACCTTCGGCCTGTCCTCATTTGTTTTCTCAGTTTATTTGCTGTCACTTCAGCAGAGACTGACCTTTAACTTCAGCTTGAAGTCGCACTTTATTCACAGTTTGAATTCTTCACTATGTCTGGGCTGCACTGGAAACCACAAAGTGGATTTATAACTGAATTTCTGCTGGAATGGGGGGCAACTTTTTTTAAGTTGTGCAGCTTACGATATTTTTTCCATCTGAATCTCTGGAAACTTTGCAAATAACAAATATTTATCAAATATATAATATATTGTACATATTTTTAAAAGGCTATCTGGATTTTTCAAACATGACCCAGATGTAAGGTTGCGCTGAAACACATGAAGTTACACTGAAGTCAACATAAGGGCTCGTAAAGTGAACAGAAGCTTGTACCAACAGTATAAGCAAAAACGAAGCGTCTTTTTTTTTTTTTACTTTATTTTTATGTGACAACGTGTTGATAATGTTATGTGATTACTGACCACACTTGGTAAGGTACTCATGTACATAATGTGTGTTGGTAGCACTTAATTCCAATGAACACGAAGCTTTTCCACATAATGACATTATATTAACATCTTACATGTACAGTTGTGTCACTTGTGCATGTTTACAACTCACCAGTGATATTTAAGACAGGGCACTCTAATTAAGTAGAAAAACAAAAACCTCTCAGGAGGAGCAGGATTTTATCAAATGTAATGTTTTAATCAGCTGAGCAGCATTTTAGAAATTAACTTCAGTTTTGTTTGCTGCAGCCAGAAATGTCCTCTTCCACAACTGCAAGAGAAGTGATTGTCTTTGTGATTAGTATGAACTGACTGTATGAGGTTAGTTGACTAGTCCACTGTCTGATCAGCTGTGTTGTCTGAAGTAAAAACCTGCTTCTTTGTTGTTTCACATTTAGCAGGGACCCTAGACATCCAGGTCAACTCTGACCCTCCAACAACAGGCAAAAGATTTGGAAAAAGTAAGTGAACTTTGAGTGTAGAATAATTTATCACAGACATGCTAATGTGATTTTATAATTTGGTATAAATTCCAAAAAGCTGGTGGTTAGATCACTCACTGACCATTTTATTAGGTACACCTGTATAATTGAATATGATGCCCTGCTGGAATATCTTCTGTGAAGCTCATAATGTTTCAGTTTCTGGTGAAATTGTCAGAAATGTTTGAAGTAAATGTTTATTTGTGAGAACATAGTTAAAGTGTCCTGAGATAACTTTTGTTGTGATTTGGTGTCATACAAATAAAACTGAATTGAAAAATCATGAGCTTCATAAAGATAATTGTTATGGCAGTGTTGTTGTACTGGATTGCCTTCAACTGTGCACGTGTGCCTAATAATGCTCACTGAGTGTGTTTATGCTGTAAATTACCACAAATCCACCTGCTGACCATTCACACTAGGTTAGTAGTTCTCAGAAACATCTCCTTACTGCATGATGTCAGTGTTGTTGATTCTTTAGCACTGTGTCATTATGTATTTACATTCTTAACAGTTTGTGCCCAGCCTGGTGTTTTAATGTCCTTTTTCATCCATGTGCTCTTCTAGCTCAGAGAAAGGAGTCATTCAAAAACTATTTGATGAAAGGGAAGGGGGATACAATTTAAGGGGTCAGTTAAATTATAAAATTCATGCTATATGTACAACCAAAAAAAGATTCTGTATTTCGATAAGTGGAGTAAAACTATGGAATAATTTAAGTATGGACATAAAAAAACAGTAAGAAAATTGATGAGTTTAAACATAGATATAAAGGTATGTGTCAATCAAGATATGGGCAAGAACAGGCTTAACGATTAATTAGACGGGAGTGTGGATGTAGAATATGTATCCATGTAGTAATACTGCTTGCAAACCAATGATGATAAGATGATGTCATGGGGTAGGACTGGATAAGTCTAACTTCTTCCTACTTCATTCAAGCATGTACTAGGTATAAGCAAATTGAAAATATTTTTGTGGATATGTCTGGAATTACGTGTGATTACATACTGACTGTTGTTACATGTTTGAAAGAATAAATCAAATCAAATCAAATCAATTGAGTTGTACAAGTTATAGGTCACATTAAAGGTGGCTAAAGTTCTGGAATTATTTATCTTGGTCTCGTTTTTTTTACATCACTGAAACCTAGCATTTTAACAGGGGTGTGTAGACTTTTTATATCCACTGTATCTTCTCTCACTCTGCTCAGTGTGTGAGAACCCTGCTAGCAGGAGCATTTCAGTGAATTGAAAAGTACAGGGGGAGGCGCAGAAGATCAAGTGACTCATATTTCTCAGCCAAATTAATCCTTCACCACTGCAGTCTTCTAAAGTAATGCAAGTAAATGTAACGTGTCTGCAGGAGTGATAAGGCAATCAACATTTCCTTATATTACAGAAAATGTATTTATTCAAGAAAATCTAAATCCATGTGGGTTTGTGAAGATATCTGATCTAGCTGGGATTGTGAAACCATGGCAGCACCTGTGAAAACAGCCTCTTCTCTGTTCCCATGCTCCAAACATGACACATGACCCTGCAGACCACGGATTGTGTACAGTGGTGACCATCAAGAACTGAAAATAACCCCACAGCAAATAGGAGGTGCAATCTTTATATTACAATTATGTTATGCAATAGCAAAAGGTCGTTCGGAAATCAGGTTTTCCAAACCACTATTATTCATACTGTATATGTGTTCACGATAAAGACTGGCAGCAGACCCTGTATTAACTGCTACATGCTAAGGATCAGGGAAAATTAAGCACCTCCTGAATGCTTCTGTTTACTACAGGGACTGTTAATTCTCTGCAGCAGGTCATTAATAATGTACAGTTCGGAGTAATTCCCTACTTGTCTAAAATACAGTAAACGTGCTAATACTGGTCCTGGGGGAGTTGAGTCAGTTACATAACTTCTTTGAGTGTTTGAACAAACTGGAGGATGAAGGGCAAGCTCAAACAAAGTCATGTCTGCCACATCACTCACACATACATAAGGAAAACAGTAGGTCTGCAAGATTTTTTTTAATCTTTTCACCAGTAGTTACTTTTAGAATTTAGCCATTTTAAATAACCTGTCTGTAGCACAGGGTGTTTATCCAACAACAAATTTTAAAACTATACTGTGAAGGTCATGTGCTACAGTATGTGCTCAATATTACTTGTGTATCATATTGTGTGGACTAAAAATTATACGTGCCAAGATGACCAGTACAACATTTGGCTGTGTTATCTGCAGTTTCACCAAGAGACAAACCTTAAACCACCCAAGTTTTAATCTGATTCCAGGAAAAGATATTCCCCAAATAAATAAAATGACTTGAACCCGAGATGCGGGTGTTGGTGAGATGCTTAGTGAATGGGGCGTTCAATTGTAAACGCAAAAGGAAACTATGCCAAATTTGCAATTAAAGTTGGAGACTGACAACAGCAGTACACCTTTTCTTATCTGTAAAATCCAAAGCTGACCAACTTTACAAGAACAATGACATTTAGAGAGCATATAACTTGCAGCAAATGGATCCTTCCCCAAGGCAATGCAGCTGGTGACTTCAATAAAGCAGCCATCACAACTGTCAGTCTTCCACTCTTGGTCTCAGAGACTGGAGCACTGTTTACATCCTGGATAATTCTGAGTAAATCACTTAAACTACTGTGACGATGCTGCCCCAGGTTGCTCTCAATAGGACGGGCTGTTTCAACTACATGAGACACTGCTGGCAGTGCAAACAGTGCTACCATCATTCACCACAGACAGCTAGGTAGACTGCAATGCTCAAATGACAGCCTGATTCAGCACACCATGAGTCAGAGTGACCTACAATTCACCCTCTGCCTTATAAACGCTAACTGGGCGTGCTGGCTTGGTTCGCATGGAGACTGCTATCTACAACGCCAGCGCATGTAAGCCATGCTGTAGTGGATGTCTGCAGAGCTCACGTGACAAATCTGGACCAAAGGACCTGGTGCTGATCTTTAAAAAAATAAAATAAAATAAAATCTATAAGCATTTAGAGGCACCAGAGAAGTAAAGAGATGCACAGGGTTGTACAATCGCAGATTATGGTCAGAAGTGGGAAACTGTGTAGCACCTAGCAGTCCAGTGGATGTAACTCGGATGGATAACCTTATGTAGGACAGACCGAGCAATGGCAGCCATTGCGCTCTACACCGGAGCCTCGTATGCAGCGGCTGACCTTGGCTAAAACCTTTTATTGCCGCACTGCAAACATGATGACAGCCCGTCATTTTGGATTTAGGTGGCTGATATAAATTGATTGCGAGTAGCAGGGATTGTATATTCTTTCTCTAGCAAGGACATCCCCGCACAGATAGCTCAAAACGAGAAAATGAATGATTCATCTGCTGCCGGTTTTCGTACTGCCAATTTTCTCCTTGATTTATGTCCTCTCTCGGGGTAAACGTAATGTAAACATGCCCGGTCACGTCTGTTTTGACAGCAGATTGTAGGTTGTAAGCGTTTAACTGAATCATGTAACCACATAGCTTCACATCGCCATCAACTGTTCCTCAAACTTCGTATGGGGAAGACAAAGACAGTTCTCTGCGGCTGACCGGTTAGCTGTGTCGGCCCTCCTCTCTCTCTCTCTCTCTCTCTCTCTCTCTCTCGACGTTTACAATATCCATGTTATCTAAATGAAATACACTTGACCTGCAATATAATAGCCATAAAGAGGTTGGGATGTGTGCAGACCATTTTCCCCCGAAGCTCAGTGCAGCACTAAAGCTAACGTTACAGCATCCCAGTTGACTAGCAACTCGCGTATAGCATGGCTGCGTTAGTTCGGTATCACCGGCTTTTAAATGTTGGACGACGTCGCGCTCCTGCTGAGCTGATATTACATTAGCTTCCCAAAATATAGCCCGAGCGATATTAAAGGGGGCATCTTAACACAAAGCCAGGTCGAGCAGTAATTACGTTAACTGTCAACATAAAGATGCGGAGGGTGACCTCTGCTATAACTCACAGTTTCTTTGTTGCAAAGTCTGGCAATTTGCAGCCGGCGCAAGCACCGCGGGGTTTCTGTAAAAAGCGCCGCCGGCAGACCTCGTAAGAGAGCTGAGGACTTTCAAATATCCAGCCATGTTTACCCGGCTCGAATCAGTCTGCGATTAACACTCGACGAAAGTCAGAGCAAAGAGGGGCCAACTGCTACGAGTCTCTTTGCAATATAGTCAGCAGCAGCAGCACCGCCCCTCTCTCCCTTACCGGCGGGACACGCTGAGCGCTACGTCAGAGTCACACAGAGGAGGGATCACGAGTCTGAGTCATGAGCTGGGTGAAATATTTTCGTGTCAGCTTGAGCCTGGGCCACAGACTGCCATCATGGTTAGATTCCAATATTCGGGAGAAGATTCTGTCTGTTTCCCAGTAGCTACATAGTAGCCTGTGTGTTCCCCTTCTGAACCTAACCCAGTGTTGAGATGCTTAACCTGACCCCAACATTCTCTAATCCTAACCAAATCTGACAACCCTCATGTATTGGAATCTAAAGTTTATGAAGCCATCACAAGTGTTTATGCATGGCATTTAAATTTTTGATGTCTTATCTCACAAGTCCATTACGACTACTTTATAAAATATTTACATCTTTTAATGCATCAAGCTTGTTAGTAAGCCTTGTAATATTCAGAAGAGTCCATTTTAATGCTCCACCATATATGTAATTATGACACAAACAGTTTATGTCAACATTTTCATAATACAGCATTAGTAATAAAATAAAAGTTCACATGTATATCGGGCAGAAGTAGTACACATATATGCATTACAGTACATTCAGATCAGAAAATGCAGGCCACTGAACAGATTTGATCAGAGCAATAGTAAAAAAAAACTAACCTCACAGTATTTACTTTGTCATTTTCTAGAGAAGGGGTTAGCTCAAATAAACACAACAAATATTGAGCTACGGTGAAAGTTAGTGTGCCATCCAGTGCTCATCTGCAGGATGGGAACTGGATGGTCACATTCCAAAATGTGTCGACAGAGGGCCCTCTAATTTTAGCAGGGGACAGTTACCATACTGGGAGAAAGATTGGAAAGCATGCAGTATAGTCACATGATAGGATTATTGGTGAGCAAGCAAATGAGACAGTCAGGTCACCTCTGAATAGGGGTGCTGCACAGCTGCAGAACTAATAACAATATAGTAAACAAATATCCATCCATCCTTTACCTATACCGTTCATTCCTGAATAGGGTCGCAGAGGGGCTGAAGAGAATCCCAGCTGACACTGGGCGAGAGGCGGGGCACAGCCTGGACAGGTCACCAGTTTATCACAGGGCTGGCATGTAGACAAACAACCACACACACTCATAAAGACTCCTATGGGCAATTTAGTCACCAATTAACCTAAACTGCATGTCTTTGAACTGTGGGAGGAAGTCAGAGTACCCAGACAGTAGTAAACAAATATACGACATGTAAATCTCTATGAAAAATAGCATTCTTCAACTTGTGTTTATAACATTATAAAGAAGGTAAACTGTCTCTGGAATGTATAGTTTTGTCCGGAACTTGTGACAATCAGCCTACGTAACACCCTGACTTTCTACAGCAACCTATGAACTCTTGTAAGCAGTCTCACATGTTGCCCACCTTCACAGACTCTCAGCAGTTCTCCACAGTGAGTCAGTCTCAGGTGTCACCCTGTAAAGCCCAAGGTCAAAGCACTCTCTGTATATTCAGTCCTCCTCCAGACTCCTTAATTTAGGCTACCCCATTGTGCTCAAAATTTCAGAGAAAGAGGATGACATTGATTTGACACATAAAGCTTTATTCTCATCAATAAGGGGGGGGGAACTAAATGTTTTATTTCCAAAGACAGTTGCTCAGATGCAGCTCTGACTGGGCTTTCATTTAGATCTCAGAGTGTAATGCTATTATTAATGTCATTGTCATGCCACTGATGGCTTTCTTTTTTTTATCTGCTTGCGCAACAGTAGGGACACATATTAATTTGCTTGTAGGAGTTTAGCATATAACCAAATGCTATATAAAGTACTTTCCCAGTGTTCTTAGACTTGATTGGTAGCTGTGGATTTTTAAAAAAATAAAGCATTGTCTGAGGCCTATTGTGATGTTTGTGCTCCATCTACTGGACTCCTTTGAGATTGAATTGGTAAACCTACATCGACCTCTGCTGGAGGAGTTGTAGGTATTGCTCTTAGATTAAGGACCATTTTGTAACAATGTATGTACAGTATGTATAGTACTCTATGTGTATTCTCAGATTACCATTATCAACCTTGGTTCTTTGACTGTGTACTTTCTTTGAACACAGTTGAATACATTTGTTTTGTTATTTTGCAGTCACTGGATAACAACATTCAGCTGACAGCCAGGGGCACTTGGGGGCAGGAGAATTGAAAAACCAAAATTCTGATCCAGAATAGACTAAAACGCTCCATAGAGCTGAGGGGGCCTGCAGAGAGTCTGTGGGTTTGTCACTATGAGCGTGCATCATACATAAAGTAAAGGGGGGGGTACTTCAGCTTTAAAAAATAGTTTTTAGCACAGGGATCTTTTTTTAAAACAGTCTCAAGATCTTAGGACCCACTGCAAGATACTGACACATAATGAAATGAGCCCTCAACCAAGTGCTACACAGTGAAACTCAAACATTTGGAGACACTGGGAATCTGGAACCTTTGGGCACTTTACCATTTTATTCTGTTGCGGGGGGGTGGGGGGGGGGGTTACTGCACATTATCCAATGTCTGAACTGTTCTGTTTATTTTATTTTGTTTTTGGCAGTTCAGCCATTTGCTATTGAAGAACTGGCTCACGTTTACAGGCTAGTGCATGTGTTCGCATTGCTTTGTATGAATTAAAGAAAGGCTCACACTGTCTTCACCTTTTACACTCACATTATAATTTCTGTTGCCTGTAAATCTAAGAAACAGCAAGATTTTCATAATGCCATGAATAAATATAAAGTACTGATTGATTCCTGCTTTGTGGAAAAGTTATTTTGTTGGTATTAATATATTTTTCTTTTACTAGATAGTTGTTAATCACAGCATCATTAAAATACCATCATCTTACACTGTTACTGACTTCACTCATCAGCGTATCCTGATTCATAACTTGTTCTTGTGACTACATGAGCAAAGATGGGAACAGATCAAGCTGCGTGTTTATCATTGTATCCTGCACTGATTAGAGCAACTAAAACAATGGCACCTCAGGGTCTGGATGATGAAGCTGCCTAGAAGCTGTGGGATTTGAATGCATCTGGTATATGTGACATAATCACAATGACATTGATGATGATGATGTTCGTCATCGTCATCACAGTAGCAATGAACTGCCAAGTGGCCTGAAGAAGGACTGGTGCTCTTTCTAATGAGCATCTGTGTGGCTACTAGCAGCTGAGCTCCAGCCTAATGTGATACATGAGTAAGCAAAGAAACAACAGAAAATCACAAGTGATAGACATTTATTCAGAATATACAACAAACTACTTGCAAAAATACTATGGATTCCTTTTTTCTTAAATAGAAGCAATGCTTCACAGGTAAGTTACATGGAAGCTGTATGATCTTTAGCTTTGATTGCCATTAAGTGTGAAAATGACATTTTAACTGAAATGTTTAACTGAAGTCTTTGTTCACTGTGGGTTCACATGTCATTTACTTGAATTCATCATGTAAGAACTACGCGTGCTTTTGAAAGCTGTTGTTTTGAATGTTGCTGTTAACAGCAACATTTTCTGTTTTTTCCACCTGGGCAATAAAGTGCTATTATGTATATCCCATTGTTTTGCCTGCTTCTTAAGGCATATTGTTCATTCTTTTTTTTTCCCCATGTGAGACTAACAATATTGAAATAAATCACACCTTGGTTACATCGTCATGAATTAAAAATGATCCTAATACATTAAATGTATCTGTCCATTCTTTTTTAGGTTTCTTTTCCTTGAAGGCACTTTGTACAAATTTGCTACAAACAGTCATATTTCATCTTACTCAAAGCTACATCTCAGACAAGTGCATCACATTTTTTCTTTTCCAAAAAAAAAGTTCATTAATGATGTTAATTATAAATGCACAAAGTGCACCCAAATGGCCTGTTGGCTACAAATGGACCCTGTATGTTCCTTAAGCATTACATTATTATGTAAGAGAGCTAGATCAGAGGAGAAGTACCATGTCTTGGCATTTACATTCAAAACTGTAATACATATGCAGCAGATACTGTGAAGTCAGAAGATAATTATCCTTATGGGTGGGTGTTGAACATGGAGGAAATCTATCTATATTGCTCAGGTGAAATATATATACATATACATATATATAT